GGATTCCCCCCCTCATACACCTGTTGCATGCAAGTAGTCCATTTCGTTTTCACTCACTGTCATTTTCAAATCACAGCAGTTCTGTTATGTCTCAACTTCCAAAGAAGAATCATCCTTTTTTTGTTTTTGTTTTTCTTTTAATAGCCCCTTATGGACCGTCACTCTTCCCTTATATAAGCAAGTATTCTGATCATGATTTAATGCATAGCACCAGTATATCACATTTTCTAGTAATGTAGTTGAATCCTAATGACCAGAAAAACATCCAACTTCCACCATTTTCCTCTTTACAATTTGCTCTCTTAGTGGAAGGCAGGGAAGGCCCTTATGGAGCTCCAGCCAAAAGCAAGTAACATTCATTTCAACTGTTGTCCCATCTCTTAGGTCCTCTTAGAGTAGCTGTATACAGCTGTAGAGGCCTCACAACATTGTAGAGTGGCAGTTTGTCTGTGATTGACCAGCATCCTCTGACTCTGAAGCAGCTAGTGTGTTATTTGTGAGCCTGGTCCTCTCCAAGTGGTTATACAGAAAGAGCCCCCTGCATTTTGTTTGTATAGGATGCATCTGAAGATCAAGGTAATGCTAACATTTATTTGTTTCTCATGGGCAGAACTCTGAATGCATATCGGCTTAATTTAAGCATGATATGTAATCCTGGCTGAGTGGGGGCGGGTTAACCTTTACTGTAGCTTCTAAATTAAAACGTTCTTTTCTTTTTCAATAGGTGCCCATCCAGACACCTACCAAGCACTGTGGTTTGAGAAGATGGATGATCCTGTGTCCGGAGAAACGTTGCACATCTACAAGGGGGGTTACTGGGAAGCTAAGGAGCAAGGGAACTGGGATATGTGCCCTGACGTCTTCTGAGCACAGCTGAACAATTTCCCCACTGAGGTGTACAAATGACACGATCGTTAGAGGGACCCCTTTTTCCTATCACATTAATTAGGAAATCCAGTTTGACATCAGCCTAGCCCGTCATCTGACCAACCTCCTTCAGCCCCTCCGTTCAGCAGGATCAAGGTCGGCTGGACTTCGCGTTTAAGTACACACGATTGCCTGTGTGGCATTGTAGTCACCCTGCAGCTGGTTGGTGTTCCTCCCACTGCCTCTCAAACCCTGAAGTTTAGCTTGGTTTTGGTCCACAGCCTCTTCCCAGTCCAGGGTTTTCTGATCCAGCCTTCAGGTTGCAGTTTGCAGCAGCTCTTTCTGAAAATGTCATTCTGCAGTTTCTTTGGATGTGCTATTGTTGGAAGGGTTATTGACCCAGATGGTACCTTTCGATATGAAAGGCTTGCTCTGATAGGTTGAGGTACTACCTAACATGATTAATGTATGTTTTTCTGCCACATTCCTGTTTGTTTTCCAAATACTCCAAAGCCTCCTCAGCACAAAACCACAGCAAGTCAAAGTTAAATCGCATCCTTTTATAATTCCCACAGTAATATCCACGTTACCATTTTCAGGCCACAAGTTTAGCTTTTGGCATTTTGGAGATAAATGAACATATGTTCGATACAGAGATACAGAGCCAGACTGATATAGGATTTCTAAGACTGATATACTGGCCTAAATTTGACACAGTGACCTTTTAATTTTCTTTTTGGGCACATAAACACATTTCCTTAACATTTGTTACATGTATTTATTTATCTACTCGTTTACGCTCTGCCTGACTATGCTCAGAGCATCTGGTTGTGTTTCTGTTGTGTTTCAAACACAGTGTAGCCAACAGGGAAGTGGACAAAGCGTAACATCAACAATCAGAATATTCCTTGTGTTTCTGTGTTCTGCATTTCATTCTCATTTATAGGTCATTCTAAATGCCAATACTGACAAATCGGCAAATAGCTGATATATCAGTCGGCCTCTAATGCAGAATTTGCCTTTGAATTTATAGTGATTTGTGGTGCTGCTTCAACCCCTGAAACAACAACTATGGAGGTATAATATAGCTATATACTAAGACTTTTAAAAAAATGGTTTGAACTGTCTTATTTTCCCCCATTCTAATACTTCTCCTATGCCCTGTAAGTACACCGCAAAGATCCAGAAGTATTTATTATAACTGTGCTGTCCTGCTTATTGGTGGAGTTACTCATATAAAACCTGAATATGGCTTCATACATCGTTCATTTCATACTACAGGAGTAGTAGAGTACTACTGAAATGGCAGTTACTGTTGCAGATGCATTTTTAGGTTGTCTGTGGTCACGGTCACTTAACCTCAGAAAACACTCTTTTTTTTGGGGGGGGGGCGTCTTTGCTCAAGAATTGAAACAACAGCTATGACATTTGCGTTTGTGACATTTGCATTGGGGAAAACTGCCCCACTTCTCAAAGCTGATAAATTTCAGATGTATTTTTCTAATTTAGCTTTAAAAGTTTCACTCCTGGTTTCACAGTAGATGTCGAGGCCATCCACGTGAGTTTGTGACTAAATTTAAATCAGCAGATCTGTGCGCTGAGTTGTCACGGAGCTGCGTGGAGTTTACTGCTAACTCGAGGATTTGCAAACTGAGGGCATTTGAAGCGAGTGGTTTGGCCTTTGTGGTTAACTTCAGACTTGGCGAGCATAGCTTTAATCTTGATTACAAATATTTGTGTGCTGTGAGTTTAGATTTTCTTTTTTGTTTTTTTTAAATAGCAATAACAGTGCCTCTGCTCCTACAAGAGGCACAAATTGAAATGCGGGGGTAGCGTTGAGCAAGAACACTAAAGCTGCACAAACCGACTTTTGTCTCGGTCTTTGCTGTTGTTTGTCTCGAGGTGGTGGACTGTGCAGGTGATAGAAAGTTTTAATCAATGTCATATTAAAGTGTACTTAAAATAAGCTCTACCAACAAAGATGACAAAAACAGCGCTAGAAAATGATTTCCGTGTGAATACACCAAATAGTGAAATAACTGTGATCATAAGTAGTTGTGTTGATGAAGAATATAAAAAGAGTGATGCACTTTTAAAGTTTTGTTTTGGGGTTTTTTGTGTTTCATTATCATTGTTTACTCCATATGAACATAGTTTCATTTTCTGAATCGAGGGCACCGTGTTACAACATGTAGCTCTTTAGCAACCAAGTTAGCTTTCAGTTTGAAATATTCGTCTTTATTTGTGTTCTGCCACCGTCATCTTCACCGAGGCTCTGCGAGCTATTTAAAAACACTTCTTTATAGAATAGGTGTACAGATTTGTGTCCTCTGTTGTTTTTATTACATGTAACATTTCTGTTTCTGTGTTCGTTTGAATTGTGTGGTTCTGTCATTTCATCTTTATGTTTCTAGTTTTTTTTTTCTGTCGGTTTCCACCAGTTTGATCACTTTGTTCCAGCTAGTGTGTTTTGGTTTTTTTTTCCTCCTCTTTTTCTGACTGTCCTCGTCTACAACTGTCCAAAGCTCAGTTGGTCAGATTTTGATGTTGGCTATTGAGATATTTGTGTGAGCTTGTTCTGGAAACTTTTCCTAAACCATGTTCAATAAAATATGAAATGAATTACAATTCTAAGGAAACTTTTCACCTTTTTCTGTCCTTTTGATGGAGTTTTTAAAAGGATTGTTTTAGAGCAGGGGTGCTCAATCCCAGTCCTCGAGAGCTACTGTCCTGCAGCTTTTAGATGCATCCCTACTCCAACACAGCTGAATCAAATGTTTGATTACCTCTTCAGCATGCCATCAAGTTTGGAAAAGGCCTGATAACAAGCCATTCATTTGATTCAGCTGTGTCGGAACAAGGATGCATCTAAAAGCTGCAGGACAGTAGCTCTCGAGGACTGGGATTGAGCACCCCTGTTTTAGAGATTGTGGCTGGATTAAAGTCTGAATTGAGATGAAATGCTTATCTTTGGTATTAATTTTATCAACTCTCAACAAAGCGGTTTTACTAATATAATGTATATGTGTAATTTCAAAGCAGATGACTACTTTTTATTTCAACCTGTTTGAATTGCTGTACCCCTTGAAAACAACATACCAACATTTAATAATGTAGTGTCTGTGTAAATAAGCTCCACGTCTAGTTAAAGGTGGAACTTGGGTCTTTTATAAACAAGTACTCCTGGATGTGCAAAGGTTTAATTCATTTTAAAGATGAAACTATACTTTCAAATGTTCACACACTGGACACTATATTAGGGACACCTTACTCATACAGGGTTGGGTCCTTTTGCCTTTAGAGGTGCATTAATTACTTGTGGCATAGATTCAGCAAGGTGCTGGAAACATTCCTTTAGAGGTGACATTGTGGACCATATTGACATGATAACATCACACAGTTGCTGCAGATGAGTTGGCTGCGCATCCAGTGATTCAAATCTCCTGTTTCACCACATTTCAAAGGTTCTTTCTTGGATTGGGCTCTCTGTAAGCCCTAAAGATGACTGCTTGGAAAAATCCCAGTAAGTCAGCAGTTTCTGAAATGTATTTGCAATATTTTCATTTAAAATGGGTCCACAAGAAAAAATAACATTTTATATGAATTAACATAAAAAGATTTATTTCATAAATACGGGACAGCAAGCTACCAAAATGTTTCTGTAACTTTACACATTTACAATGTAAACCCCGAGAATGTGCTGATAGATTTCTTTTCAGTTACTAAAGATGAAAAACTTTGGCATAGAAAAACTAATTTGCACCGTAAATGTGTAACTAAACGTTTTTACACTGACGGTCTGATTGAGTTTAGATCATAGTGGGCTGGATGTGGCCCACGATATAAAATGAGATTGACATCTCTGGTGTCTACGCTCGAATGCATCTACCATGTGATTGGCTGATATTTATGTAAAATTGTGGTTGAATGGGTGTACTCAACAAAGTAGCCAGTGATTGTATTACACGAGTTAAAATAAAAATAAAATGTAAGAACCCGAATTAAATTCTATTTCTGTTATTGTGAAACGCCTTGGGTCGATTGTTAGTTAAATTCAGTGATCAAACGTATGTTGTTTGCGTCTGGAGAAGTCGTTTCGTGGACGTTTGTAGCTGTTCTCGTCTCGGCACGCCCCTGAACGTAAAACGAGCGCATCTCTGAGTGACATCAGCATCTTTTGTTTACCAGTCAGCAGAGAGTCCCTCAGGACCACACAGCAGCAGTAAAGGGAGAACATCCGCTGCCAGAGCACGACTGGGCATTTTTGAGGCCTTCTCTTTGTCACATAGAGAGCGTGAATTTGTTTGGGTAGCGTTTAAGTACTTGCCTGTGAAAAATGTCGGAAAACGGATCCGGACCTGGAGTGGACGATACAGACGCAAAGCCAGGCAACGGAAAACAGTGAGTCACTGGATTAAGCTAGTTAGCGATCTTTATGTGTTGCGATCTATTGTGTTCATATCCTGTTGAAGGTTCAGGGTAAGAGTGAAACCGTTTGTCGTCCTTGACCTCAAAGATCACAGCCGCTCGTTTTGTCTTCTTCTTCTTTTTTACTGCTGTATTAACGCTCTGCTGTACTTTAACATTGTGCTATTTGATCGTTTGATATAACGGAGCTGCAACTGTAGTCCAATCTTTGCATGCTTCTTTCTTTATTTACAGCAGCATCTCTCTGACGTGCATTATTTGCTGAGTTTCTAATCACACATTAAACTTCTAAACTAAATGTTGGCTTGTCCGTCAGATCAGCGGGCTCTTCGTCTGCTTCTGTCCCCATGGACGTGGATGCCAAGCCCCAGTCACACAGCTTCAGATACCGCCTCGATTTCCCCAGAATTGGCCAGTGTATCATCATCAACAACAAGAACTTTGACAGGAGTACAGGTGAGCATTTGGGCGGTCTGTTAGTTTCTGAAATTTAAACTCTAAACGAAACAGCTGTAAGTAACATCTAAAATTAATCTTCCTGATTCAGTTTCAAGCGCAAATCGAAAGGTGATAAAATGTCACATATGTGAGAAGCTGTAGAGCTACACTTGGTATATACAGCAGGTCTGTGACATTTAACGTGTGTAACATTAGACAAACTGATGATCTATTTCTCTTTAGGTGAAATGTGCGATGATTTGACCAGCACTGCATAATATAGATGAGTTGGGTGAAGAAATTAAGGCTTTAATTTTGGAACTATGCATGCAAAAGAGCTCATCAGGGTTCTGCTGCATGCATACAGTTCATAATTTAACTTGGATCTACTGAACTCCATTATGCACTTTAGACATAAAAATTGACCTAGAGCTCCCTTGTCACAAAGGGTGACTTTAGCAGGGAGCTCCACATGTTTGATTTGGCAGAGTTTTTACACTTGACGCAACCCCGAAGGGATTTGTGTCTTCGACTGGAATCAAACCAGTGACCTTTCCCTTCCTAAGAGAATGCATAAACCACTCCAGTATGGCTGTACATTTGACATGAAGGTCTTAAAACGTGTTAAAGTGTTGGGATGTGTGTGCGGGAATTGTGCTGCTGGAGTTCAGGGCTTTAGCAATTTATATTACAACCAGTTCAGTGCAAGATATTTTATGGATCTGGACAAAAAAGCAACCACTATGTGGGTTACAGGTTATTTATTAGCTCAGTTTTGCTCTTATTGCACTTTGTTGTTCAGCCAAGTTAGGGCCCTTACGTGAAGTAATAAACTAGTGATACAGAGACCAAAGCTGATATAGAGGACAATGTTTGCACAACTGTTGAAACCAGTTGCTGTATTAACACATTAGAAAATGTATTTGCTTTGTTTTCTTCATGCTTAGTAAATAAAAACAGGTATGGGTGGTGCACCGAGTTAACTATTTACATAGGGAAGTGAATCCAGACTAATGGTAAAGGTTAACTTTGGGTAATGGATCCATTGTCTCAAATTTTCTTTGTTAAAACTTTAATTAGGTGTCATTCCCATACTAGTGTTTCTATTGACAATACATCCACCCCCCCATTTTTACTAGACGCCTTTGACACAGGGGTGTGCATGGTAGAAAGCTGGAGGAGGGGACTTCTTTGAGTATTAAATGTGAGGTGATGCCACCTTGTTGTATGAGTGTGTGTTGAGGCTAAAGGCTCACGTTTCATCTGCCTGTTGACAAGTGTTTGTTAGGGCTTATTTGCAATGCTAAGCTCTCCCTTGGTAACGTGTCGCATCACTGCGTTGAGGCTTGAACTCTGTGCAGTAATGGCCCACACACTGTGGAGGCAGTGCTAAAGTGTGGCTTCTCTTCTCCTCTATTCTCTATGTAGGACAGAAACCAGGTGATTCATCTCACTTCTACACCTTTTGAGAGTTTATAGGTGTGGAAGGTTTAACCTTAATGCTGTGGATTCCTATTTCCTCCATTCACTGCAGGTTTATTAGATGTTCTGGTTGGATCTGTTGCAGTTTACGTGTTAAGTATCCTTGCATTTGATGACAGTAGATTTTGGGAGCTGCCAGCACATTTTACTGTCAGCTGGCTCATCAGCAAGTTCAGACACATGACTCAAAGTATGATCAGGCACGCAAGGCATGGGTGTGATCTATAAGATGACTGGCACCACAAGAGAGTATGCTGATCAGTTCCTCTTCCTGTTCAACATTTGCTGTGGAGTATTTTGTTTGAGAATATTCAAAATGTAGTTTTTATTAGGAATGAAGTTGTTTTAAATATTGTTGCTTTTGGGTGTTGGCACAGAGTTCTTTATCATTTTCTGAGGCTCAGATGATTATACTGGTTGCGTGATACTGTCTTTTTTTCCATTTACTTTCAGAGATTAACCTTTCCCTCTGGTTTGTGTTCTCTAACTTTTTCTTTTTTGTCTCTCCAAAAACCTGTTTGCTGTTTTACTGTTTGAGGTAATCAGAGGGCCTCCAGGCTTGGTGGTTGTGGGCTGTGTTGTCCTGTTTTCATGTTCTTGTTTTAAAAAAGAAAAAAGGTTTAACCTCATTTCAATGGGGTTAGAATGTAAATGACAGAGAAAGGAACAATACATTTTAATGCACTTCTAGCAAATATATCATTAATCGGCACATATTAAATAGTTTAAGAAATCAAACTTTTAGCTGATTATGTTCTCTGAAATTGTTCAGAGCCCTAAAACTGTAACGGATGGTTGGTGCCATCATTGCGCTCGAGTTCAGGCTCCTCGAAAGCTGGTGTGTCCTTCTCTGACCTTTCATCTTGCTCTAATATCTCATCCCTCACACTGCGATGAGTCTGAATCTCCTACAATTCTGAGCAAAAGTGAAGTACTCAGGAATTAGTAACTCCTATTGCCAACCATAGAGGACACTGAATCAAAGTTTTGCCCATCATTTTGAAAAGAAAGCCAGAAAGCCCAAGATGTACACCTGACTATACTGATGGATATACAGGTCTCAGGTCCCTTACGTGATAGCAATGAATAAACATCAAAATAAACATCAAATGGCAGCTTTTCATTTATCTTTGTCAGTATAACCATGTGTTATTTGTATCTACTGAAATGGGAATATCTCTTTTTTTTTTTCTTTTTTTTTGCCCTCTAAAAATCAGAAGTGCCCCCAAACCCCCCAGTCTCAGTCAGCTTCTACATCTGTCTTTACAAACGTCCTGTGATGGTCTTAATATTCCATCAGATTTGTGTTTTTGAAAACTTGTCTGGCAGGACTAAAAGGGCACACACGACTGCGTATTCAACATGCATCTCGATGTTCTCAGAGCAAACACGTCGAGTCAAGTAAACATCAGTAGTGGTTGATCCTGTACTTCGTCGTTTAGTTAGCGGAAAGGAACAGGTGTTACCTGAACAATAACAAAGCTCTTTTTCTGTTCAGGTGCCTCATGACGAATAAGCCCTGACAGTGTGACTGTAAAGCAGTCTTTTTTTTTTCTCGTTTCTTTATAGCTGTGTAGGTTTTGTTATTTTCTGGCTCATTGCTGCTCAAGATGGGCGGAGATCATGTGTTAGTAAGAATAGGTGCGCCTGTAAACACCAAAGTCATTGGGTAGATCCATGCAGACTCGCTCCTGCTTCGCTTGAGTCTAGCACACTGAACAGCACATGCTGCTAATGCTGACCTGCCAGTGGCAAAAAAACCCTTGTACCAACAGAATCCAATATAAAACGGACCGATAATGTGGTTTTGTACAACACTTAGAAGCGTGTTAAAAGAAGAAATTGAAGATGCTGCTGTTTAGCTGCAGTACACCTCCCTCCTGCTACATCCAGTCAGGTTTCTCATGCCCGGCTGTCGTGTGGAAAAGCTAAATCAAAATGCGCTCCATTTATATTGTTTGTTTGTTTGTACACTCAGAAGGAGGAAATGTTGATTTGTCTTGCACATGGTTTTCATGTTGAAGTAACCAGAATTGTGGTTTTGTGTGTTCCAGGCATGAATCAGCGAAACGGTACTGACGTGGATGCAGGCAACGCCATGAGAGTATTTAAAAATTTAGGTTATCATGTGAAGCTGTACAATGACCAGACAGTTGATCAGATAATGAACGTTTTAACTGCTGGTGAGAATGATTTAAACCTCCCACTGCTACTCGTAAAATTAAAAATAAGCCTCATGCTACTGACTCTTTTCACATGCTTTTGTTATGTATCAGCTGTACGTGTATTCATTTATCCATCTCTTTGTTTTTTTTAAGCATCCAAGGAAGATCACAGCAACTCAGCCTCTTTTGTCTGCATTCTTTTGAGTCACGGGGATGAAGACTTGTTCTTCGGCACGGACGGCTCAGTAGCGCTCAAACACCTAACTTCACTTTTTCGAGGCGATCGCTGTAAATCACTGGCGGGAAAACCCAAGCTCTTCTTCATCCAGGTACCGTGGTGGTTTCTCTTCTAGTCCACTTCCTCTAACCTGCAAACCTGTAAACGAACGCTGCTTCTTTTTTTGTGCATGTGTTGACATTGAATAGGCTTGCAGAGGTACAAATCTGGATCCAGGCATTGAAACAGACAGCGGAACTGATGGTGTTAAGATCCCTGTGGAAGCAGACTTCCTCTACGCCTTCTCCACTGCCCCAGGTTAAAATAAGGGCCTTTCCTTTTTCTTGTCTTTGTTTTTGCATGCTTGCATATTGTTTCCTTTAAGAAATATTGTATTTGAACAAAGCATATTCCATGACTCATCTACACACAGGTTACTACTCATGGAGGAATACTCAGACTGGGTCCTGGTTCATCCAGTCGGTGTGCGACATGATCAGCAAGTACGGAAAAGAACTGGAGATCCTGCACATTATGACCCGAGTGAACCACAAGGTGGCAGTAGAGTTTGAGTCTGCCTCCAATTCTCCGGGGTTTCATGCAAAGAAACAAATCCCCTGTATTGTGTCGATGCTGACCAAAGAGATGTATTTTTCTGGTTAATGTCAGAAAACTAGAAGAAAGGCTTTGGGAGTGCTAGAATTTTTTTATTTTATTTAAATGTACACTTTGCAACTCGATATCTCTTCTAACGTTCATATTGCTTGGAGGGCAGATACGATGCAAATGTCAGTGATGCTTCACCACCTTGGCATTATTAAGTTTATTCAGTGTTGAGTAGTTATTTAAGTCTGGCATTCACTTTTACCCCAGCAGCAGGCCCTTTAACCAAAAGGAAGGTTATTTTTCACATACCAACATGACATAAAACCTACAGATGTCTACAAGTAATAACAGCTTGAATTTCCGGGCTGAGTGTGTTACACGTAGACGCCTTTTTGCTGTTTACACTGCACATTTCAGGGAAAACTGTTGTGAGTCAGTTTGATAGGAAGTTTGACCTTCTGCGTTTGTGTAATCATGAAACCATAGACGGGCTGATTGTCCACCAGCAACAATATCTCATACATGAGGAGCCTATTGTAACTTAAGTGTCTAAGCACGAAGATGGTCTGTCTTTTTTGTTTTCGTCTCTATTTACATTTGTATTTGTCTCCATTGCTGTGTGAGTGATGTCATTCACTGGATCGGTACCTGATGCGTTGTGCAAAGCCTGAATGAAAGCACCACCTGAACCTGGTGGGTAAATTATTATGTAGCAAATTCAAGAGCATCCTGTAAGTTAAATGTATGTGGGTTAGAAAGCTCAGAATTACATTTTTAATTTTCTGGGGGTTTTTTTTCTTTTCTAAAGGTCTATTTCTTTCTCTTGCTTGTGAAAATCTTTGATGGGGAAACAGGTTTAATAGCCTGCATGGGAAGTGCTCAGCAATCCGCACAATGCTGTCTTTTGAGCCATATTTTAACACGTTAGACATACTTGAACTTTTTTATTTCACTACTCTTTTCATGGCTTCTTGACTGGGCCGATTAACCTCATAGGCAGTCCACGGTGCAAAGTGTTAGACATTTCAGGATGTGGTTAGTTTAATATGCCAGACAACCGGAACTACAAAGACGGATTTGTTCAGACAGGTGATACTTTCACTTTGTTTTTTATCTTGTGTAGACACAAAGTGTAGTACCATCCTTTCCCCGTAAACTTAAGAGGTTTGGTCAGACCAAACATGATCTTTGAATATGTTCACTTTGGCTTCAGGGATCAGTGATGTGCCTTTTTCCACAAACAATGAGCCAGTAAAAGAAATATTGAATATTGATGGAAAAAAGCTTTTGGTTGCAGCCTTAAAGAAACATTCATGGTGGCTTTTTTAAAAAATTAATAATTAATAATGAAATGCAAATTTACTAAAGACATTTTGTACTTCAGTGATGCAATTTTCTTAATAACCACAAGCAAACTGAGTAAAAGTTCTTCTGCAAAACTCATGTCACCATGAATATCAACTAATTCATAAGAGATGAAGCACAGTTTGATTGCACATTGATGCTGTTTTTACATGTGACAAATCATAAGAATGCAATTGTTTATGTACAGCAAGCCAGCTGTATGTGTCACTTACGCTGTTAAAATAATTCATCGTTGCATGTTTGACACGCACTTCTCAATTTGGCTTTTTTGTAAAATCATGATTTTGTAAGCAGCTGTGATGTAAGGTTGATGAACTGTCTTTCACGCAAAATAAAGACCACTTTGTATTCTGTGCTGTGGAATTGGTTTCATTGTTTAGTTTTGGCTCATCCGTTGCAAGAATATTCATAGCACCAAAGATTACCAAACCCATTTTTTGACACATTCTTGGCAAACTCGTTCCAGTTTTTTCAGAATATCATAACAAGAGCTAACCTGAAACAACAGTAAAAGATCCGCTTTTACGATGCCTTGAGTTTAAATATGCAGGATTTCTCCAGATTTGCCTGTAGGTGAGAAAAACTGAACCACTGCAACTTGAGACCCGGGGCCAGATAAAACTGTCTTGAGCACAAATGCACTTTACTGAAACTGCTCCCACAAACAAGTGAATTATACATTTACAATCGACAGTGATTAAAATGCTTTATCTTAACTTTGATACCTGAAACTAATAGTATAAATAAATATGGCATAACTGAACCTAAAGTAATAATTTCTAGCTGCAGTGATTAGATTCACTGTGTTGTATGATATAAAAAGTAATTTCCCTCCCCCAACATAGCCATTTAAGACTTTCAGATTCCACTAAACCACGGTGAGATCATTTTCCACAATTGGAGAAAACTTGGAACGGTGGCGAGCCTTCCCAGGACCAAAATCACTCCAAGAGCGCATCAACAACTCATCAGGTCACAAAAGAACCAGAACATCTAAAGAACTGCCGGCCTCACCTCAGTTCAGGTCAGAGTTCATGATTCAGCAATAAGAAAGAGAATAAACAAAAATGGCATCCATGTGATAGATCACCATTTACCAGAAAAACACCTTGATGATTCCCAAGACATTTGGGGAAATATTCTGTGGACTACTTTTTTCTGCACTTTTTTGCTTGAGGCTTGAGTCCCGCTACATCTAATGTGAAACTAACACAGCATTTCATAAAAATAACACCACCCACAGTCAAACATGGTGGTGATAGTGTGATGGTCTGGAGCTGCTTTGCTACTTAAGGACAAAGGGCTCCAGAAAACAAACAAACAAAAACCCAAACACCTCAAAGCGTTCCCACTCCAAAACCTGTACTGGCATCTGATTGAAATTCTTTTGCGCGACTTTAAAAAGGCCATTACTGCTCGCTGTCAGTTATTGCAAATAGCTGATTGCAGTTCTTGCTACCAAAGGTACCACAAACAGTTATTAAGGTTACAGGGCAATCACGTTTTTAGAAAGGGTCAGGTAGGTTTCGATAGCTTTTCTCCTTTAATAAATGAAATCATCATTTAAAAACTACATTTTCTTATTTTGCATGTTATTTTCCTATAATATTAAAATTTGTTTGCTCTGAAAAATGTGACAGGTGCCCAAAAAAAGTCAGGAATTGGGCAAACACTACTCAAAGAAAATTAAAGGAACACATTAAAAACTTCAGATCTCAAATCATGCTGGATACCTATACTGATATGGACAGTGTAATGTGTTAGGAATAGGCCAAATTCTTAGGCAAACCAAAAATAAAAATGAAAAAAATTTGTGGCAGCCTCATCATTTTTGATGTAAATCCTTGCAGTAATTCAAGATAATACTCAGTAGTTTCACCCCTACCTGGTTCTATCCATGCCTGACAACATCAGGGCATTTTGTCCTGGAGGATCCCGTCTATCAGCAGTCAGGTCATTAATAAACACGAGTGTTCCTTTATTTCTCCATACTTTTCTCTTCCAGTCATTCTGGTAAACGTTCATCTTGGTTTCATCTGCCCATAGATTTATTTCCACCCAGAACTGCAAAGCCTCTTTTAGATATTTTCAGACATCTGGCCTTCCTGGTGATAATTGTCACCAGTGGTTGTTGTAAACCCTCTCTATTTACATTCATAAGGACATCTCTTAATTTGTTGAGTTTTGCAATATTATGACTCAACTCCTTACAAGTGTTGTCTTGTGGTGAATGAATTTTTTTTAACTAAGGAAAGAATTCAGCACTCCTCCACTTTAATTGTCTTCTGTGGTCTTTTAGGCCTTTCGGTGTTGCTGAGCAGGCTGGTGCATTCCTTCCTTTTAAGAATGTACCCGATTGTCTATTTGGCCACTCCTGGAGCTTTTGCAGTCTCTCTGATTCTTTTATTGTGTTTTTCAGCCTAATGATGTCCTCCTCCAGTTGCATCAGCATCTCTTTGGATTTCATATTGAGCTACCAAACACAAATTCAACACTTCGAATCATATCCACATTTTTTATCTGCTTGGTTTGTAAAGAAATCACAAGGAAACATGAAAAAAATATAAATCTACTTGAGAGTCAACTGTACAATTTTTGTCTATAAAAATGTCTGTAATACCCACGCAGTTACTTCAGATTTTTTTGTTAAACATCTTCATTTAAATCTGCCCTTCAGTCACACCTTAATTGTTTGGTTTAAAATTCACACAGGCAAACCTGCAAAAACCATGCAAGGCTTGCTTTGTCCAAAATCTTATAGACCTGGCTATCTAATGGCTTAATGTTCAGCAAGTGCATGATATATGGTCCATTTTGATAGTTTATTTTATGGTACTGTTGGATTGCATAATAATAAGGCATTTTTAACACTATATAGAGAAAACTCGTCTCTGCAGTGGTCCACTTTGTTAACATACAGACAGATATATATCTGGAGTCTAACTGTAATCATTATTGTTTCAGTCCGGTGCACACTACGTTTTCTGTGGCAGTGATAAACGGCACTGATGACCATTTATGTTTTACATATTGTGTTGTGTGTTTTATCTGTTTTTTAATGTTTTATGTGAAAGTCTATGTGTGTTCTGTATAGTTATAAAAAATTAAACCATGTGTAAATTGTAAATATCAACAGAAAGTAATGAGTTGCAAATCTGTTAAACACATATTTATTTTCACAATAGAACATAGAAAAGAAATCAAACGTTTACACTGAGAAAATATCACTTTCGACAAATATTGTCTCATTTATAATTTTTTAATTTGGCAGTAGCCAAGTAACATGACTGGGTGTAAAAAGAGCATCTTAGAGAGGCAGAGTTTCTCAGAAGTAGTGATGAACTGAAAATTGAGCATCTACAGATTGTGAAACAATTTCAGAATGACGTTTAACAACATAAAATTGCAACGATTTGTCTACCATACATAATTTCATTACAGAATCCCAGGAATGTGGACAAATGTCTGTCTGCAAGGGACAATATACAAAAACCCAGTGTGATCTTGTGGTGATCTTCAGGCCCCCAGGTGGCACTACATTAAAAACAGGTGTGATGCTGTCATCAAAAACACTGCATGGGCTCAGGAACACTTCCAGAGACTACTGTCTGTGAACACAGTTCATTGTGCCATCTGCAGGTTAAAGCTCTATGATGCAAACAAGAAGACAATCCAGAAACACTACCATCATCTCTGCTCATTTGAAATGCAGTGATGCAATCAGGAAACTGTTCTGTGGACAGATGAATCAAATTCTGAAATTCTTTTTGGAAAACATGGATGCCGAATCCTCCAGAGTAAAGAGGAGAGAGACCATAGTCCAACTTGTTATTAATTCAAAGGGCTGCATCTCTTATACTATAGGGTTGTGTTAGTACCTATTAACTTGGCTGCTTACACCAAGATACCATCAGTGCTAAAAGGTATATGCAGTTTTTGGAGAATCACGTGGTCTCATCCAGATATAATCTTTTTCATCAGGACAATATTTCAGCAATGCTAAACCTCACATTGCAGCTATTACAACACATAACATTAACAGTACAAGAGTCCAGGTGTGGAACTGGCCTGACTGTTCAGGTCTTACACCAACTAAAAACACAGCATGAAAGGGAAAATACAACAACTAAGACCCAGGACTGTTCAGTAACCAGAATCCTATTTTATAAGAGAATACGATGATATTGAGCAGCTGCCCTGTTCAGTTTCCAAACGTTTACAGACTGTTTTTAGAAGAAGAGGTGATGATACACAGTGGTAAACATGGCTGTGTCCTACTTTTTTGGGGTGAAATCTTGCTGCCATCAAATTCAAAATTACCTTTGCAATATCCTTTTTTTTATTTTTGAATGTAATTAGATTTTTTTTTTTAAATTAAATTAACTTTCATTTAGGCTCCTGTGTGTGTGTGTGTGTGTGTGTGTGTGTGTGTGTGTGTGTGTGTGTGTGTGTGTGTGTGTGTGTGTGTGTGTGTTTGTGTTTAAAAACTTTAGTTTTTACTAGCTATATTTGGGTATTTAAAATAGAAATGAAAGAAACTGAACTTGATTCTTGTGTTTACAAATGTGGCAAATACCGAAATCATTACTTTTTGTTATTATTACTTTAAGTATTGGCTAGTTTTCATTTTTCATTGTAGCTGTCTCCGATCACTTTGGTTGTGTAAAGCCGGCTGCTACACATTTGCTTTCCATTCAAGCATCGCGAAAGCTTGAATTGAAATTCCGTTTGCATGTGTTTTTTTCTCATATTAGAGTGCTCCATTGGTGTTTTAAGACACTGATGACATTAAATTGTCTTAGACGGTTAAGTAAGGATTAGACCAGATAGGGATTTCTATCAAAAACGTGGATTTTGACCGTCTAAAGTGAAGTGTGGTAGTTTACAGGGAGTGCTTGAACGCATCACAAGTGCTCGCCTTTTTTGTCGCTGAAAGTAGGACCTAAACGTCTTTGACAGTTGGGAGAGGTGGCTGCAGGGGACGGGTATCAGGTTGCTGATTTCCCTGGTTTTACATGGAGCACCTGTGTTTGAAACATTTAAAACTCTTTTTCTGGGAAGTCTGGAACTTTCAGAGGAATCTGTTTCTTGAAAATGCCCAAACAAACAAAAACTCTCAGTTTGGAGATAGAACCGCGATGGAGACCTGCACTGTCCGAACCATGCCGTGCAAGGAACAGATTGTAGTTTCCGTTTGAGTCCCAAATTTTGACCGGAGCGACTATGGACAAGTTCCTCCAGATCGCTCCGCACTCCCTGGCGCTGGTGCTGTCGCGCCTTTGCAGAGGAGATGGAGAGGACTCACCGTCGCCACCGGCCTTGCTCTCAGTAAACTTAAAGCATCACTCTGGCTA